AGAGAGACGAGAGAGAGAGAGAGAGAGAGAGAGAGAGAGAGAGAGAGAGAGACATGAGAGAGAGAGAGAGAGAGAGAGAGAGAGAACGTGTGTGTGTGTGTGTGTGTGTGTGTGTGTGTGTGTGTGTGTGTGTGTGTGTGTGTGTGTGTGTGTGTGTGTGTGTGTGTGTGTGTGTGTGGGTGTGTGGTGGTGTGTGTGCACGCGTGTGTGTGTGTGAGTGTGTGTGTGTGAGTGAGTGAGTGTGAGTGATGAGTGAGTGAGTGAGTGTGTGGTGTGTGGTGTGTGTGTGTGTGTGTGGTGTGTGTGTGTGTGTGTGTGTGTGTGTGTGTGTGTGTGTGTGTGTGTGTGTGTGTGTGTGTGTGTGTGTGTGTGTGCGTGCGCGTGCATGTGTGTGTTGGTGCTGGTATGACTATTAGTATTAACATTACTGTAAATGTGAGTTTCTATTATACTGTTTATGACAATTATAATTAAGCCATGCATTAACTTCTACTAACTGCAAAATAAGAAATAAAATAATTGCACTGAAGAGAAGAGAAAGATAATGGTATCACAAATTGTAGATGTGACAGAAAATTCAGACAACAAAATCAAAAGAAAAATATAAAATTACAATGAAATATTACAATGCATTATGCTCACCAGCCACCCCTCCTCCTCCTCCTCCTCACTTTCCTCCTCTTCTGTACACTATGCATTAAAGAGAGAGAGAGAGAGAGAGAGAGAGAGAGAACGAGAGAGAGAGAGAAGAGAGAGAGAGAGAGAGAGAGAGAGAGAGAGAGAAGAGAGAGAGAGAGAGAGAGAGAGAGAGAGAGAGAGAGAGAGAGAATATTACATTTTTGAAAAAGATTTTTGAATTTTGTAAATGTTCCAAGTGGTAATTCAATATGTTATTCCCAAACTGTATAATACTTTACAACTAATGTGATGAGTCTTTATGAAAGATGATAAACAGTCCCTTACATTTACAAGTTCACAACTCTAATGTGTAAACCAGTGTTATTCTCTTGTATCCAAAATAAATACCAGTACAAACTACAGGGTAAGTGTTTCTGGTCCTAGCACTGCATGATACATTTGGACATGTTGGGGGGGGGGAGGTATAGTTTTAGGTGTAGATCTAAATTTTCCATGTTTACAGTCAACTAATTTGTTTATTTATGAACATGAATTACAAAAGACTAAACATTTATATGATAAATTAGTATGACTTTCATGTCTACCATCCTGTTGAATTTATGTGAGATGAATAATACTTACAAACTGTAAAATCAAGACTTTTTATTTGGAAACATTAAATTTATGATTCCCTTCCAACTTGCAAAAAGATCTAGTTAAATTTATGAGCACAAAAAATATAACATGTCTAATAACAATTATGATAATATATATGAATAATAATATATCAAAAAGACTTTAAGAATCACATAGTTAAAATCTTTTAATTAACAGCAGCACTCACCTGCTCTTTTCCCTCCTGTTCATTGCTGAATTTAATGACTTTCTGGCAGTACTCCATCCTTGCTTCCAGGGGCACCATCTTAGCAGCTTCACTTGACAGCACCAACTGCTTTACAAACATTGTTACATCGCTTGGATTCATCTTCTCCATATACTCCTCACATGAACTAAATCTGTAAAAAATATCCAGTTCATCGCACTTCATATGATCATCAACCATCATTAGTTAAAATTTGTAAACCATACAACAGAAATAAATGTCTGACATTAGGTATCACAGCATCTTACCTTGTAATCCATGCATTTGCAGTCTTAGGTTTCCTGTCAGAAGAAAAATCAAAGAAATACTTCTGGGCCCAAGCACAGTAAATTGTACTTGGGTTGATTCCAGCATCCTTCATACTGGGAACATTTTTTGCCATTTTTGCAAGATTGTTGACATTTTGAGCTGTTAGGACTGGGCGCAAAAGAGCCATCACATCTGTATCTGCCTTGAGGAGCAGCTTGTAATTAAGTCCTTTGGCAGATCCCTTCAGTTTTTTCAAGAGTTTGATGTGGGATGCAGCTGCTTTGGCCTCAGCTTTCTTACCACCGCACTGCTCAATCAGAGTGTAATAGAGCAAGAGACGCTCATGGTCACATCCACTCACTGTCAGGAAAACAGTCTGCTCCATTCGGGTTATGAATTCTCTGGGCTCTTTGCTCAGCTTCTCCACCAAATTCTTTTCTTCTATGCACTGCTTGATATCATTAGTAGAAATATCTGAATCAAATAAATGCTGCAAATAGGTCATATAAACCTGCCACAGAGAGACTTCATACTTCCTTGCTAATGTTAGAGCCAAGTCAAGCACCTCATTGTCACGAGTCATGGCCAGGCCTAACACTGTATCCTCTTTGTAACTGCTGTCAACCAAGAACCTGTCAATGTCAACACCAGCTCCCAATCTCTGGAGAGCTTGGCCTTGTACATAGTCTGAGACAAGATCTTGGGTACTCTTGAACAGGTCCACATACTGACTAAGCTGATTGTTGAGCT